GCCCTATAGCGAAAAACCTCTCCAAAAAAAAAAAAAGAAGTACTAACATCTTCAAGCAGTAAATGGCATGGAAAGAAGGCAGGGGGTGGGGCTGGGCAGAAAAAGTCAAAGAGAAAAATCTCAAAAGAGAATCAAAGAGATTTAAGAAACACAACAACCAAATACAACATGTAGACCTTGGATCCTGATCTGAACTGTGAAGTGTGAGAACATTTTTAAGATAGTCAGAAAAAAATCAAGCCTGGGGCCAGCAGAGACCGACCAGGGTTCAAGTCCTGGACCTGGTTAGTTGAAACTCACACCAGGCACATATGTGTGTGTACCCAAGATCCCAGGAGGAGAACAGAGACGAAGGGACTGTGACACGCCCATTCTCCCTGTGGGGTGATTTCTCTCTTTCTCCCTCTCACTGTGTCTGTCTGTCTGTCTCTCTCTCTGGTAACCACATGTGCCCTAAGGCAAAAACCTCTAAACAAAAGAAAAAACAAACAAAAAAACACCCAAGACCAAACTTGGGTTTGGCATCATCTGGTATCAGACCGCACTTGGGTAGGTGTCGAATGACACTGAGACATTACCCCTAGTTGCGATGACGGTACTGTGGTTTCATTTGTTAGGGAGCCTCTGTTAGAGCATATGCTGGAATAATTACAGAGGAAGACGATTCATGTCTGAAATTGGCATAATTGGAAACACCCAAGACCAAACTTGGGTTGGCACCATCTGATATCAGACCGCACTTGGGCAGGTGTCGGATGACACTGAGACATTACCCTCCCTGCGATGACGGTACTGTGGTCTCATCTGTTAGGAGCCTCTGTTAGAGCATATGCTGAAATAATTACAGAGAAAGACGATTCATGTCTGAAATTGGCATAATTGACTGTCCCAGAACAAACCGAAAAGGTGACAGGGGTAGCAGTGGCTGCAGCCAGGTGACAGGTATAGGAGGGTTCTGTGCTACCATACTCTAGGATGACCCTGGTATTCCCTACAGGAGAAATAAAGTTTTAATACTTAGACACCATTTCCTACAATGCATACTTGCTACAGAAGCTGACACAAAAGGAAACCAAAACAGTTTTAGCCTGATGATAACTCCCATTCTACAGACCCCCCAGAGAGGTAAAACAATCTGCCGGGTGACCCTAAGAATTTTGCATGAGCCCTGGTTGGGTTTTCCCACGTTGCCTGGCCTTGGTGGGTGGCCTAGGGACTTAATGTCAGTTTTTCTCAGATGGCTGAGGTCAACAGAGACAAGAGTGGGAAGGGGGAGGGTATGTGACAGATAATTATAGCCAGGCCCACTGCCAGCTAAGACCAAAGAGTGGTGATGGCCACCCTTGTGTGCAAATAGCACACACATTCCTTTTGTCAGAAGTCCATTTAAATGCCAAGAGCTATTACTCATGGAATGGAATTTGACATGTTAATAAAGCAGAGTATCTAAGAGACACTAAGACCTGGAATTTTTTTCCTGGGAGAATATCTTATTCGTAAACTCAGTAAAACCTTCAACACCAGGCCAGCCTCACAGAACCATCAAAGCTACCGAAAGTTATTGGTACTAACCCTTTGGACAATTCCTCAGTGATGTAGAATCTCTTAAATTCCCAGGACTGGTGGGAGAACAAGATAGCACATGGTTACAGAAGCGAACTGTGCTAATGTGGGTCCTCCCTGCAACAGCAGGGCTGACACCTGTCCACCTGTTCCTCCAGCTCAGGAAGGGGTAAGAACTCTGTTCCCAGCACAGAGTGCTTGCAAGAGAGTTGACCTGGTGGCAGGAAGAGGTACTCTGACAACCTGTCACTGATATGCAAGCTGGGAGGATGCCCTTAGCCTGTGCTTTCTGCCCAAGAACTGCCTTAAACTTGAGAGAAACTTCCAGAGCCACCGGGAATTTTCCTTTGACTGCTCTCCTGAAAATCAACCACTCCCTCACCTATTCTCTCTGGCAAAATCCAGCCTTACTCATTACCAGATAATTGGTGGGAGACACAATAGACTTAAAGAGCCAGAGAAGCCCTCTTGGGTGACATTGCTGGCTTGGGGTTTTAAGGGTTTCTCCAGGAGGACAGAATCGGGACAGAGGACTGGCACACTCAGCAGGCTTCCCAGTTGTGAAGTACAGGGAGGTTATTTCATTTACTCAGCAGAGAAGCTGTGCGCGAGCTAAGTGCCACCATGGCCAGGAAGACACACACGCTGCGCCCCAAGGAGCATCCTCAGATGGCTCTGCTGGGTGAATGGTCCCATCACCAGCCAGGAGGGAGGCCTGCTCTCCTTGCACGTGGACACCGGTGGCTAGCAAGGCACACCTCTCCCTACAGAGGCCTCCAACTTCACCTGTATAGGGACCATGGCCAGAGAAAGGAGGAAAAGCAAACCATGACAGTTCCCCAAAGGCAAGGAGCCACTAAGAGGTATAGGCCCTCAGGAACCCTCACCTTTGAATCCCTCTTGGTCACCAGGGTGTACAAGGTCTTTTTATTCAAATCAAAATGGCTGCAGACATCCCTGGCAGCTTCAGAACCCTGGGTCACCATGGCGGCCATCAGGTTCAGGCAGGCTCGAGCCATCCTGCATAGAAACAAGGAAATCCGGCAAGTCAGCAATGGCAGATGCAGAAAGGCACCTCACCACTGGCCAACTGCACACTGGGTCATGTGATATGCTAGCCCCAAACCAAAAGAAAGCAGGAAGGAGACAAGCTTTAAAACCAAATTAAAAAACAATCACAACAAAAAGTTAAAAAGAAAGCTAAAAACTGAGACTGAGGAGCATCAGGAATGAAAACACAAGATACAGGGAAGATAGAAACTCATTGCTGGAGTAAACCATCATGTGACTGAGAGCCCATGTCTCAGTCTGTGTCTGCAGGACACGGAGGAAGACTTCTCCTAGAGGCATCTCCAGAGCCAGTTTTCGGCAGCCTTCCCATCCTGCAGTTACCCGGAATCCGTGGTTGCCTGCTGAGCATTTGCTACATGAGAGGCTCTGCTGCAGGTGCCAGGAAGATGGCATTTTGCAAGACAGTCAGGGCCCCAGCCATGTGCACCATGCATTCTAGTGGAGAGAGACTGTCAGATGTAGAAAATTACATCAACTGCATGGCTACACAAATAGATATTTGTCTCTGTGGAGAAAAATAAAACAGGCTGAAGGGATAGACAAAGACCAGGCAGTGGAAATGCTACTAGATATAGGATGGCTGATGAAAGCCCCAAAGACAAGAAGGCGTTCAGGATGATCGGCAAGAAGAACTGTCAGGGCAGGAGGACTGGGCCACATAAAGACATGTCCACAGTGTTCGCAAAAATGCAAAGAAAACATCGGCACCGAAAGCAAGGACTGGGGTAGGAGGAGTCATGACAGCCAGAGGCCAGTCCTCGGAGGAAGGAGGGGCAGTGATGGTCACGGTGTTCTCAGACCCAGCTCAGCTCTCTTTTATGAGCAAAGGTAAAGGTCAAACAACCCACAGAGAGTCAAATGCAGACGGAACCCAGAGGCTAGCCCCTTGCACTCAGAGGCAGCTGCTCACCTGTAACCCGAGGCATAGAGGGCCTCACAGATAAGCTTCATGTGGTTGTTCATGAGTTTCTTCACGATGTTGGTGCCCACAACATGAAGATGCGAAAGATCACCTGCAGTCCGCAATAATATGGCCTCGAAAACTTGAAATATCAATAGCATCTGCAAAGACGAACATGAAATGCTTACGAATCAGACATGCTTCTCTTATTCTTCGAGAGTGATGTGCAAGCTTATAACCTTCTACATGCAGAACCCAGACCCTGAGCCAAAGGTGACAAAGGCAGGGAGGTGACCTGATAGGCTCCAGGCCTGGATTTAGTCTTACTCCCACAGTCCAGTGAAACGGAGAAGAACTTACTTACAACCACACAAAATGAAATGAAATTCCATTAGTGACTGGGCCCAACAGCTCTGCAGATATGCAGGTCTAAAACATTACATCAGCAATCCTGAGAGTTCAACATGCATTTAACTATCCCAAATTTTCAACCTCTTTGGAACCAGAAGACAAGAAAATTCCAAGTGCGTTCTGGTCTGTGACACTAAATATAAACTCGTTTCCCTTTCATTCAAATAAACTATGGATCGCTGGGAAAGTCACGAAGCATTTTTGCACAGAAAAACATGGAAACATCTGTCATGACTTTGCCAGTAAACCAATATGTCAGAAACAAGTCCATCTTGACTAAGAACCTATGGCCCTTTTCTCTGATATTATTTACCAAGTTAGTAATAAGTTAGAGTTTTTCATTAAAATGTTCTCAAAGATCAGGAAGACAAAAAAAACCAATGTATTCCTACAGTACAGAGGCAAAGCTTCCTCTTTAGAAGGCATGTGTCACATTTCTCTTCATCAAGCTAAATGGGACAGTAACATTCACTTTCCTTCTTTTTGTCAAGCCAGGTAAGGGACAACGTACTTCACTTTCAGGTCGCTTCTCCCCACTGAGGAGCTGGAAAATTTCTGCACACTCAACAGAAATCTTTATATATCCTTCTACCACATCGTACACATCTTCTTGGGGTAACTTCTTGGCAGCAGAGACGAATGCTTCCAAGGCTGAAACAAGAGTTACATGCAATCATTAACGATGACAGTCTCCTTGGAAGCCATCATGGCCACTACTGTGACAATTCATAGGTGGAAGCCCTAACACCGATGAGACTAACCCCAATGAGACAGGAGATAATTAAGGTTAAATGAGGTCTTAAGGGTGAGACCCTAATCTGATAGGAGTGAGGTCCTTGAAAGATGAGAGCTATCAGAGAGCTGTCCCTGTCTCTCTGTGGACACAGGTGAACCCAGATGAGGACACAGTGAGAAGGCAAGCCCAAGAAAGGCCTCACCAGACCCCAACCACACTAGCACCGTATTTTGGACTTCTGGCCTCCCAAACTATGAGAAAATAAACTGTTGTGGTTTAAGCCCCCAGTCTACAGCATTTTGTTATAGCGGCCTTAGCAGATTAATCCATATAGACAATACAAAAACTCTTGGAAACAATGAAGGCAGTAGAGAAATAAAATGAACTGAGAGCTGACACCACTTACAGGACTGAACCCTGGCCCTAGCAATTACTCACCTGGACCCGCTTTTAGTGTTCACTCCCTAATCTACAAAACAGGACCCGTTAAATCTCTCTGCAGCCCTCTGCCCTAGGACCTGGTACTTTCTCCCATTTTACAGTATGCATACTGAGGCTCTTGTCAAAGGGTACACACAGCTAGTAAGTGGTACAGCCAGGGCTCGATTCCAGGCCAGAGCCACGCCCTCCCTTCAGGAGTGGCGTAGTCAGTGCTGGTGCAGTGCCTGCCCTTGCAGTGCCAGGAAACATCTGCCCCTGTTGCTCTTCAAAAGCTCCACAGGGTAGATCCTACGGGCACATTTCCCCTCAGGTTACCCCAGAGGTTCCCTTCTCAGAAACCTCCACTCCCTACAGTTTGAGGACTCTACTACACGTTGTCTAATCAATACAAGCCCCCTAGCTGATACCTGAATTCCCACACAGCTCCGCCTTCCTGACTGGGACACGCCTGTGTGCCTGCTCCCCTGGAATTCTTCCTTTAGAATCCAGGTTCTAGAAAACTGCCTCTCTGGGCTAGCTCCATTGCACAGTGGCTAAGGCAGCCAGACCCATCATGGCTGGCCATGTGGTTCAAGTCCTGGACCCGAAGGCTTGAGGAATATGCTGCGCACGTGTGTGTGCTCCAAATCCTGAAGGGTGGGAGAGGTGCATAGAAGAGACTGTGGCAGGACCATTCCCTATGGGTGGTGCTTTCTTACTTTCCCTCTCTGTCTCTAAAAAAAAAGAAAAATAACACTGCTTCCCTGATTCTACTCTTCAAGCTGCATGTCTCAAAACTAGGAAGCAGGACACCGTAGTGGGTTGGAAACCACAGGAAAATACAGTCTGAAAGAGGCCTTAATCTTTTCTCGGGGAGGGGATTTCATCTTATTTGAAAAAAAGGGAGGAAGGGACTAAAGATTCCTTTTAAAACACACTGAGTCATGGGACCAGTTGGCATAATGGCTATGTCGCTGGACTCCCATGTAGATGACCGTGGTTTAAGTCCCGGACCCGGTGGCTTAATCTCACACCGGGCACGTATAAGGACATGTAGCCATTAATTTAATAACTTCTCTAACATGAGAAATGCACTGGCCACTTCTACTTTAGCACCATGCCAATGTTTCGATATGGCAATGATTCCAACTGCGTTTTCCTCCTAGCCTATGCACTTTCCAAAAGACTACAAGCACAGCCATGCTGTGTTTCAACTGCTGAGGAAGACTTTATTAGGTGGTTTCGTCGTTGTGTGAACATCACAGTGTAATTACACAAACGTAGGAGGTATACCCTACTACTACCTAGCCTAGATGAGGCTAGGTAGCATGATCAGTATGATCTTCTAGATCGTCATATATGTGGCACTTCCTTGACTGTAATGTCACTGTCACACATGACTGTGTTAAGAGAATATTCACGCTTTACAAAAGGTGAAGTTAAATTACAGAATCTTACTTCATCTCAGTTGCCACTCTGATATTGGTAACTGACAAGAAGCTGTGGTGATGCTGGTAGCTTGTGTATGTTAGAGGGTGGAAGCTGCTGAGAACAGTGCAGACTGCCACTCTGCAAGGAGCAGCAACTGTCGCATGGAACTTCCCCCAGCTGACTCACATTAGGGACTCAGTATACACTGTTGTGTGAGCGAGCAGGGCACTTCATTTATTGTACTTTCCCGACAACTGCAAAAAAGACACTTTAGAGCTGATGCACAGACGAGGGAAATAAATGTGTGTGGTCGCCTGAAACTGTCGCAACCAAGCAAGCCTAGTCCTCTGACAGCCCAGGGCAAAAAGCGCGGCCCTGAAGTTGCCCCAGCCCAGCCACGCCCAATCACCTGGGCCTCAGTTTCCTGCAAAATCGAGACTGGGCTCTGACCCTCGAAGACCTAAAAGCAGCAGAAAAGAGAGACTGTGTCTGGAACACCTGAGGCTGCACCCAGACCGAAGTCCGCAGACCGCCTGGCAGGCAGATGCTCCCTGCCAGGGCCCGCAGCCCCGCACTCACCTGGCTCCACGCCCTGCGGCTCCTTCAGCTGAGCCTTGAACCCCACGCCGGTGAGCTCTTCCCTGCGGGCCCGCTTGGGCACGCCCGCGGGGGAATCTGTGCGGTCCTGGCCACTCCGGGCCTTCCTCTTGGAGACCCCCATGGCGCAGACGGCAAGGACCAACCGAAACCACACACTTGCTGGGACCTGGCAGGAGGACACGCGCCACGCGGCACGTGGTAGGGAAGGGGCGGGACTTGGAGGGAAGAGGCTGGGCGTCGGGAGAAGAAGCTGGCGGAAGAGGCGGGCCTGCAGGGGGGGGGGCCAGGAGCGCCGGAAGGGGCAGTTATAGGCTCCGAGTCGCGCCCCCCGGGCTGCGACGGATTGAGTCCCACCGGGGCCTGATTTCCCCCTCGGTGCTGCTCTCGGGGCCCTTGGCACCTTCGTTCCGGGTCCGAGTGGACCGTACTGTCACTGCGCCTTGTAGCAGCGCAGTGAGCTCAACTCTCGTCCTGGGGGCGCTCCAGTGGTGTCGCTCGGAGAGCATGCTTCATACACCCACGGAATTCCACGCTTTGCCAGTTCCAGGCCCGGATGGGCGGGTTCCCCTGGCTGGATGCCAGGCGGGCTTACTGCTGGAGGTCGTGTGCCCTGGGACCGGACTACCCTCTTCCCCAAGCTCAGGGCAATACTAGTCTTCAGAAAGTTCGTGGAAATAGGTATAATGGGGGGAAAGAAAAAAATAACTATGCAGACGACTCTGGCCTAGTTGTTGAAGCAGCTGGATCCCACATGGCTGACCATGAGGTTTGAGTCTGGGCCCGGTGACTTGAGAAATATGCCAGACAGGGCAGTTAGCATAATGGCTATGTCACTGGACTCCCATGCCGTCAACCGCTGTTCGAGTCCTGGGCCAGGTGGCTTAAACTCACACCAGGCGCGTGTGCGTGCGTGCCGAAGATCCTGAGAGAAGGGATTGTGGCGTGGCCATCCCCCCTGGGGGGCGATTTCTCGCTTTCTGTCTGTCTCTGTCTTTCTGGCAAGTGCACACGCCCTATAGTGAAAACCTCTCCCCAAAAAAAGAAGAAAAAAACAAAAAAGAAACCCTCCAGGCACTGGGTTCCCAAAATGTAAAAAGAAGGGAGAGAGGAGAAAAAGGATTGTAGCATATTCATTCCCCATGTGGGTATTTGCTTTTCTCTCTGGTGAGCAAAGGCGCTCTGTAGCAAAACATCAAACAAAAATATCTATGCATCTTAAAAACTTTCGCATCAAGTAAACTCGAACTTTTAACCACATCTTTCCACAGACTTGAAAAAAAATTTATTTACCTCTTCATTGTGATTTTCAAGTCACCAGATCCAGGACTCAAACCTGAGGTTGGCCATGTGAGACTCCAGCACCTTAACCACCGCACCACCTGCTGGTGTGTCCTTCCACAAACTTTTTGAAATCCCCTATATTTGTGCTTTTTCTGCCATTGCAGAGTGGAGTGGGTGCTTGTGTAAACCCTTCTCCTCTGCATTTAAGTTCTTGTTGTTAAAATAGAGGTAGCAGAACCAGCCCTGCCCAATTCTTGGGGCTGTTATGAATAGCAAATGATGCAATGTTTGAAAAAATGTCTTGACAGGGGGAAAAGAAAAAAGCACTGTCTTTATAAGATGCTATTAATTAGCTTCTGAGCAGTATTAAATGCTGTGAAATAAAGTGATAGAAGTGAGTAAGTAAAAATAAGCTGTTGCCTTTTTTAAAAATATAACCTGGTCGGTATTTGAGTGTGTGTTCAAATAAACAGTGAACCAGCTCATTAGATGAGTGCTTTGGTGATTCCTGTAATTCTCTTCTCAGGTTGCCCTCTAGTCTAAGGAGATAACTGACCTGTATTCTGCAAGCAGATGTGTTTTGAGCATCTGAAGATGTGACCTGATGGGGTTTCAGAGTCTGTAATAGAAAAAGCACATGATATTAACCCAGAGCTCCTGGCCTGGCAAGACTACTACACCTGTGGAAATGCCTGTGTTATTGGTAGATCAGATGGGGATGGAGGGAGTCACCCCAGCAGGTCAGAGCTAATGCGGCAGCATAAAGAGAAGGGACTATACTCAATTCAGGCTGCAAAGTGCAACACTTCATTAGTAAACATGGACTTCTAATTGTCCATACTGGTCCTCTTCTCTGGTTAATTGACAACCACAAGCTTTGTTTTCTGCCATAGCAGGCCAACCAAAGAGGCAGCAGGGAGCAGTAGGAAACAGTCCAAGACTCTGAGTTCAGTTTCTGTCTGTGACGTTGGGCAAATTGCCATCTCTCTGGACTGGTTTGCTTAACACAGAATTAGGAAGGGTGAGGAGTTTGCCAGGATTACCCAGATTCTATGTGGAGCCAGGACTCAGCAAGTGTATTCCAGCACCAAATTAAAAACAAAGAAACGGAAGTTGGCAGTGATCATCCTAGCTTTAGCCAGAGATGCACCTGATGGTGGATAATGGCTCAGAAATACGATGAATGCTTCAGACTAACTCAGCACAAAGCTGCAGCTCATTGGTGCCAAGTCACTAACTTCTCATTCAGATGCCAATCTCAACAACCAACCTCCAGATAGTGATGACTTTCCACAAAAGATCCTGCATTATTTGTTCCGAAGAGCATTCTGGTCTGTTGAAGACTGAGCATCAGTGTTGCTAAGACATTCTAAGTTGGTATCCTCCTCAGGGCCTTTGCGCTTGTTCCTTACCTCTAAAACTCTGCCCAGATCTCCAGTGACTAGACTCACTTCATGTGGGCTCTCTCCTTGTCCACCCTTCACTCTATCCTCTTACCCTCTATTTTCCTTTATTACCCTTATCATCTTCTGATGGTATTAGACCGTCTTTGTCAAATGTCTGTACTAAAATGGACACTGTATAATGCAGAAAAGTGCTCCAGTCCCACTGCCCATAATAGCATATCATGACACATATCGTAGAGCTCAATAAATATTTGCAGAGTAAATAATTATATAGATATGGACATGAATAAATATATAACTTGGGTCTTGATCTTGGTTAGTGTCAGTCTATCTTAAGAAGCAGGTTGGCTCTTGGAAGGCTGTCAGAAGTCTTCAGGATGCAGGTTTCTGAGTCTCTAAGCTTATAAACTGGCACCTGAACTGTGGGGGAATTAGCCAAGAGAAGTGTCTAACCTTCAGCAGCCAACCAGTTCATCTTAAGTGGCCATATTTTTCATCCATATCCAGTAAGCCTATTTGTATTATCCTTTTAAATTTTATAATTAGGGGCCAGCAAGTGGCATAGTGATTAAGTGCTGGACTCCCACATGGGCAACTGCAGTTCAAGTCCTGAACCCAGTGGGCTGAAAATCACACCAGGTGCAAGTACGCACAAGCCCAAAATCCCAAGAGGAGAATGGAAGAGAAGGGATTGCAGCATGGCCATCTCCTATGGGGGAAGGGGGATTTGTCACTTCCTTTCCCATTGTCTCTGTCTCTCACTCCAGTGAGCACATGCTCCCTGTGACAAAAACTTCTTTTTTTTTTTTTGGAGAGGTTTTTGCTATAGGGAACGTGTGCTTGCCAGACAGACAGAGAAAGACAGAGAGACAGAAAGCGAGAAATCACCCCCAGGAGGGATGGCCACGCCACAATCCCTTCTCCTCCATTCTCCTCTCAGGATCTTGGGCATGCATGCACATGCGCCCGGCGTGAGTTTTAAGCCACCAGGCCTGGGACATGAACCGCGGTCAACTACGTGGGAGTCCAGCGACATAGCCATTACGCTAACTGCTGGTCCCGACAAAAACTTTTTTTAACAAAGCAACTTAGACATTCTAGGTTTACTTCCAGTTTTTGTCATTAAAGAGCACATACGCTTCCCAGAGAGAGAGAAAGCACCTTCAATGGGGCGTGGTCATGCCACAATCATTTTTCCTTCATTTGTCCATCCCATTAAGATTTGGGGCACACTTGTGCATGTGCATAGATTGTTTTTCAAGCCTCTGGGCCAGGATTCAAGCCATGGTGAGCCATATGGGATCCAGATCTCTAAGCACAAGGATTAACTGCTACTCTATGTGGCTAACCCATTCTTAAAATTTTTGTAAAGAGTAAAGAGAGTTGTTCCTTCAAAATACATATCAAGTTCACGTAAACTTCACATAAACTGTACTTAATAGAATAAAAAGTACACATTATTATATAAAAGATGAAATTATCTTGACAGTTTACTCCACATTATTTCATTGGGATAAAAGAGTATTAATGCAAATGTAGAGAGGAGAGATGTAGAATTCCACTGAGAGTGCCAGGTTCAAACCCAAGCCTGCCAAATGGCAGTGTTAACCAGTGCACACTATCGCAACTGGGTCTGGTCTAACATCTTAATAATTAGACAAAAAACAGGGACCAGCAGGTGGCGTAACAGTTACGTTGTTGGGCTCCCATGGAGTCTACCATGGTTTGAGTTCTGGACCCAGTGGCTTAAAACTCACACTGGGCACATGTGCATGCATGCCCAAAGTCCCAAGAGGAGAATGAAGAGATTGCAGTGTGGCCATCCCCTTGGAGGATGATGTCTCGCGTTCTATCTCTGTGTTTCTCTCTGTCTCTCCAGCAAGCTCACACACCCTGTAGCAAAAATCTCTAAAAAAAAGAGAGAAATAAAAGAGAAAAGAGAAAATTTGAATAAAGATGTATTTAATTTAATGATCATAATGTAACTTTCTACCCACAAACAGAGAATACATGTTCTTTTTAAGCAAACATGGAACAATCATAAAATTGACATTATAAGCTGCAAAGGAGGTCCTAATAAATTTGAAAAAATCAACATCCTTCAGATCATGTTCTTGAACGGCAAAGCAATAAAATTAGACCTTGGTCATGAGAGGATAGAGGTTAGATCTTTTTTTTTTTTTGAGAGGTTTTTGTTATAGGGAGTGTGCACTTGCCAGAAAGACAGAGAGAGACAGACAGACAGATAGAAAGCAAGACCCCACCCCAGGGAGGATGGCCATGCCGCAATCCCTTCTCCTCCATTCTCCTCTCAGGATCCTGGGTGCGCACACACATGCGCCCGAAGTGAGTTTTAAGCCGCCAGGTCCAGGACTAGAACTGCAGTCGACTACATAGGAGTCCAGCAACATAGCCATTATGCCAACTGCTGGTCCCGAAAAAACTTTTTTAACCCAGTAAGTCTGTGAGAGGGGCAGTGTAGATTTCTACTAAATAATTCTTTGAAAGCATAAGAGAA